TTTACTAACCTTAATACATGTAAAATAATTTATCTTTAATAATTTTAATAAAGATATTAATAGTTACTTTGCAACCATCCGCTAAATTAAATAAAATGATGTGTGTTCCCTAGATTGAAGAGCACCTCCCGCCCTCCCTCAATGGCGTGCACTAATCCCGTCACCAGCAATCCCAGCAACACTACTCCCAACACCACTATTCTAGAAAAAACACACCATCGACGATAATACGACACGTGTTTCGCCTCTACACGAGGCATCTTCAGGTGATGTTGACCGCGTTAGTGGTTACGGTGGATTTCCTCAAATTAACGCCTAATTCAATCAATTATTTTAATAATTTAGCTGTGGTCGTATTATTTCAACAGTTTATAATCCCCTCTTTCTACTATGCTATAATCAATCAAAATTATTAAATTGAAAAATTTGAAAAATGAATTGCCTAGGTATAATGAATTTTAGTGGTCAGTATTATTCAGTTTGCAATTTAATGTATCCTACATTTGTAAACAGTTTTATATGAGACCTGTTTGAAAGGTCGTCATAGGGTGTTACTTTTATAACCATCATATCTAGCGCCAATATTTTATTATACTTTTCTTTTTTTATATAGGATAAGCGTGACAAACGAGCACACAGTCCACCTGATTGTAAGTAGATTCTGTATCCTCGATTGAGAATCAAAATGCAGATGCGTTGTCACCTCTGATGACTAAGATGGAATGCCTCGTTACCAGTAAAATGGGTCGCCGATTCTCTACAATCAGCTTTCGAAACACAGCAGCATTGAGCTGCTATTTTACGCTGGTGCTCTGCACGAGCGTGGTTCTTTCCCGGTCAAGTCGACCCATTCGTGCTAGAAACACAATATAATAGAAGCATGGCTCTATCTCGTAAAAATATAATTATGATATTTTTTACGAGATAAATTATGATGTGACGAAATTACTGTAGTAGAAACAAAAAAATAGCATTGAAGGTTTTAAAATGTATTTATTTAAATTTTACAGTTTTGAATCCTTATTATTTTTTTCTTTAATGATGATAATAAATATTATTGCCTAAATAAAGAACAAACATTGACAAATTTAAAAAATAAACTTCAAAAACATCATAAATCAAAAGTTTGATCAATGATCAAATTCAATCCTAAAATTCCATACTATTTCAAACTTGATATATTCTATAGTTAAGTAAAATTATTTAGGGAGTATATAAAATAGACCCTAAATATACTAAATAAAATAAAAATATACGAACCTGTTGCCGCATGGTGGCTATTCCGTCATAAGAATCAATCACCTCACTTTATTCTATGGTTGTCGTAACTACGAAAAAGTCTAGAAAAACCGTAAGTACTGCAAACGCCAACTTCTTTCTAATCGTGGGAATAACGGTAAATACTTCCTACAATCAGAGAAGCACATGGTTCACCCTACCTAATATTCGCTGAGCCGTAACAGTGTAATAAAACTTTCGATACGTCTCTTCTTTTTGATGTCTTAATTATTTGTAAGTTCTTAATCATTACATAACATAACATAAACACTCACGCCTGTCACCCAGAGGGGTAGGCAGAGACTACAGACTTCCATTTGGCACGATCCTGACACACCTCTCTCGCCTCCTTCACATCCATACACCTACGCATACATGCTCGTCGGTTAAGGGTACTCCTAATTTGGCCCGTTTTCAATAAATCGCCAATTTGGTCGATAAATTTTCGCCTAAGACGTCCCTTTCCGACTCTGCCATTCACTTCTGCAACATAAATTTTCTTTGTCACTCTTTCCTCATTCATTCTTTCCACATGACCAAACCACCGAAGCATTCCTTTCTTAATCCTGGTCACAACATATCTCCCATCCCTGCTAAATACGCAGCCCAAATATACAAACTCATCTACTTGCTCGATCAACTCCCCTTCTATTCTTATTTCACAAATCGTTTTACTTTCTTCTCTTTCAAAAACCATAACTTTCGTCTTACTTGCGTTCACTTTCATACCCCTTTCTTTTTATGATCTGTTCATTAATGTAACCATCAATTTGCAACTCGGCCGCCGACGACGCAAGGAATAACTTGATCATCGGCGTACAAAAGGCATTTGACGGTTAACCCACCCATTCTTAATCCGCATTCTTCAACTTTCAAATTTTGCAAACAACTGTCCATAAATAGGTTGAACAGCCACGGGGAAGCCACACATCCCTGTCTGACACCTTTATGGATGTCAAACCAGTCCGAGTAGACCCCGTTGATCCTAACACAAGCACTAGACTCCCTATAAAGAGACTCCAATGCCTGTATCAAGCCAGCGCTCAACCCAAATGAGTTCAGTGTTTGCCATAACACCTCCCTATCCACTCTGTCATAGGCCTTTTCCAAGTCCATGAACGCACAAAAAACCTTTTGGTTTTTGGCCAAAAACTTCTCCGCGATCATGCGTATGGAAAAAACTTGATCTGTACATCCCATTCCCTTTCTAAATCCCGCTTGCACATCCCAAATTTTTCCATTAGTTTCTTTCATGACCCTTTCAATCAGTACCTTAGCATACAGTTTTCCCACAATGCTAAGAAGGCTGATGCCACGGTAGTTTTTACAGTCCTGCTGCGACCCTTTTCCTTTATATACTGGGACTATCACTGCTTTGCACCAGTCTACCGGTACCCGCTTCAGTTCCCAGCATAAATTAAACAAGGTGTACAGCAGGCCTGCCACGACTTCCTCTCCAGCCCTTAGCGTTTCGAGTGAAACTCTATCATATCCGGCAGCCTTACCTGCTTTCATGCTTTTCATTGCTTTCATTATTTCATCTATACTTATCTTGCTACCTCTTTCCTCTTCTTTCGGAGTTTCTACTTCACTTAGTACACACGTTGTCTCCTCACTCATAAACACGCTTTCAAAATATTCCTTCCATCTCTTTTTTAAACTCAAAACTTCATCATTCAGAATATAGCCATTCTCGTCTCTTATAACATTCGTCATAGGCTGTTTTGAATGTCCCCTGGCAGTTCTTACAAGTTTCCAGAATATTTAATATTTGCCTGGAAGTTATCTTAATCATTAATAATCTAAATTGTCGAAGCGGCCCATTCGTGGTACAACCATAACATATGCTATAACATAGCTATACCACGTATGAGAGAGACCTAGTTCTATACAATTAGGGCAATACATATAAGATATCATATTCACATTAATTCTATGTAAGAAAGAAACCCACATCTAGCTGTAGAGTGTAGACTACTTATGAGGTTTTAGTTTGTTATTGATTAGAACTAATATTATTTTACTGTACGTTGTGAAACCACTTGCATATGTAGTCCATAGTATTATTATCGATTAAAAATCAAAATACAGATGCGATGTCAATATTAGGAAGTTCCTTTTTAGTAAAAAGAATATCCGGCTCGTGTCACTTACCAAATGAAATACACAGCATTATTCTACTATTTTATTTTAAGTGATATTGCTAATATACAAATTTATTTCTTTATTCTATTTATACAACTAAGTACGTTTTAAATATTTTTATGTAGTATAAATATAAAGAATATAATTAAAGATGTTTTACAGCTCTGCCCTTATTGCGAAGAGTTTGTCCTGGTCTCCACTTATTGTCGACATACACCGCATTCACACCAAACTGTTTACTTCGCCGTTCATAATGTGTTACTGCAAAGAGTAATAATTTATCGGCATCTGTTTTCTTATCCGATTACAAAGTATAATCTCAGTTTATAAGAGTTAGTAGTCAGAAGTAGTAATTTAGTGGGGATGTAAATTCAAGCCGAAGTCGAGTCTCCAATAGGAATAGGCGTTTTTTTAGCTAAGTTTATTTTGAATAAATAATCATCTTAAACAGAATTGGAACAAAGAAGTAGAATAATCAAATATTATATTTATGTTATTTTAGGAAGTTTTACACTATTTAATTTTACACATTTATTTCTATGGAATGACTATTAATTTTTAACAGAATACAAGTACTAATTAAACATTTTTTACTTAAGAATATTTATTATTAATGTTAATTTCTTTAGAATTGAATTGAAAAAATTATACTTAATAAAACAACGACAGTTTGACATCGAAAATGATTACCGATTGAAGACAATTGCGGTTGACAGACCATTCGTCTGTTTGTTGATTCATAATTAAAAAATTTGAGACTGAGTTATTTGTACTAAATAAACCTTCTAACATTTAAACGTTATCTGAATTCGACATTTTTTTTTCGAATATTTATTTTTCATCATCGTTTATTCATTATCGTATTTATCATCGTTCGCAATTTTTAACATACCTACTGAATTTTATACTTTCGAATAGTTGGTTATTTTAAAGTGCATGGCTCCGACTTTTGACGGCAAGCCAAAATAATTTTCATAAAATATCGTGCTATCGATATTTTTTTGGTTTATGACCGATATATCGATGTTTTAAAAATTGGTGTATCGTTTGCATCCCTAAACTTACGGCGAGTGCTTAGCCCTTCAGCTACCACGTCTATTTTAACGTTGATGGACTATTTTTACGAATTAACGAAAATCTATACATATTAAACGTTATCTGAATTCAACATTTTTTTTTTCGAATATTTATTTTTCATCATCGTTTATTCATTATCGTATTTATCATCGTTCGCAATTTTCAACATACTGAATTTTATACTTTCGAATAGTTGGTTATTTTAAAGTGCATGGCTCCGGCTTTTGACCGCAAGCCAAAATATTTTTCATAAAATATCGTGCTATCGATATTTTTTGGTTCATGACCGATATATCGATGTTTTAAAAATTGGTGTTTCATTTGTATCCCTAAACTTACGGCGAGTACTTAGCCCTTCAGCTACCACGTCTATTTTAACGTGGATGGACTTTTTACGAATTAACGAAAATCTATGGCATATTAAAATCGGTACCAGTACCTGAAGTTTAATTAATACTACATTTTATTTATGAAATTAAATTACAAACCCTGTTAATTAATTAACAGTTTTTCAGCTTAATCGACTGTAATGCAGCGAAAATGTCTTGGCGCCGAAAAACATCAACAAAACCTTGTCGCGACAACTCCCTATAAGCAGAACCTGAAGAACGTGATGCACATGTCCGACAAAGCAACTTTTTCATTTCATAAACATAAATTTAAAATTCCTGCTCGGTTAAATTTTATAACTTGAAAAAGAAAGAGAAAGAAAGAAAATTACTCCATCGCTGTCTTTCCAACATTCGAATTTTGTTCTCTATTTTCTTTATAATAAACTTTTAACACCACCATTAAATGTCAAGGCTTTATACAAACACAATGTTCATTGTACAACATTAAGATAAATAGTTTTTTGAAGTGAAAACTTCTTTAGCGGCGTTGGACACTTTTTCTGCAATGGGTAAAAATTGTTAAACTCGCGTCAGGACACGTGACCCTGATCGAAAATGCGTAAGACGGACGGCGTAAGAGGGGAAGTATCCCCCTCTATTTTTCTACTGCGCGGTGGCCTGCTGTTTCGTTTAGGCGGCTCAGGGCGCTTGCGCGAATGTAATATAAATTGTCATGTTTGTGTACGATAGCGCAATAAATAAATATTGTATTCTACCACATAAATGATAGTACTTTTATACTGATAATTAAAGCAATTCGTGCAAAATTATTCCCTAACCATTCCAAAATATCAAAAATGCACAACATAATATTTCTTATATTTACGCGAACACTACACATTGAAATAATACTAGTTTTTACGGAATTTATCGCGTATATTTAACTTTTTAAATACCCGACGTTTCGAACGCTTTACAGCACTCATGGTCACGGGCAGGACTGAGATGTTCAACGTCCATATGTCATAGTTAACCGCGGTTACCATAGATTAAAATTTTTTTAAAATTTAGATACCATAAGTTCATACTGCATAGATCGGAACAAAAGTTAAATTTTAATCTATGGTAACCGCGGTTAACTATGACATATGGACGTTGAACATCTCAGTCCTGCCCGTGACCATGAGTGCTGTAAAGCGTTCGAAACGTCGGGTACTTAAAAAAAGTTAAATATACGCGATAAATTCCGTAAAAACTAGTATTATTTCAAAAATGCACAACGTTAATATTCAAGTTTTCACTTCTGCCGGCACTCCCGGAGTGCAACCCGTCGTTTTTTTAAAATAGTTTTACGGTTATTGTTGTTTTCTTAATCATGTGTAAGCGGCAGTGAACTCAAATACACAATTACATTATTTTGAAGCGTTCAATATTCACAATAACAAATTAGTTAATAAATAATAATCATTTTAAGCTTTTTCCGATAAATCAGTAAACCTAAAATAAAAGTAATTACATAGGTACACATGGATGGTCAGTTTTCTGATAGATTAACTTCTCAGGTTGATAAGCATACTAAAAATATTATATTGCTTTCACTTAGAGTAATAGAAACATAAGCATACTTGAACAAAATCAATAATTAGAGTCAGTTTTACCAAAGAAGTACAATTTCTATTTATTTTGTAAGAGAACGAAGTAAAACGATATATGTATTTCTTTTTTTTGTTTTTTTTAAAGAATATTAATAATGCTATTAGCATTCTAATATTCCCCTTAACCACTCGTGGTAAGCTTAAATTGCTTGTGTTACGAGTGGTTCACGCCAGTAGTCGAATGGCGGATTCGAACCCACGACCTTTTTGAGTTCGCGGTCCGCGCCCTGCCATTAGGCTACTGTAAATTTCGGATGTGTATTCAGCAAATATGGTAGATAAGATAAGGATACCCCACTTCCTCTATCTTATTGTTAACCTATTCATCCATCCATTACATTCCATAAAAGTCCACCGATGAACGTAGGCCTCACCCATAGATTGCCTCATTGAGTGACTATGCCCTAGATGTTACGCTTGGCAAGCGCGCTGGCAACCGCAGTTTTATATATTATTTAATCAAAAAAATGCTGCTGCCCATCTCCTGTATAGTTTTCCTCTTTCGACAACCATGGGACGATACAGAGTAGTGGATATTCTTACACTGCCACTGCACGGTTATATAGTTTTGCGCTTACACTGTTAACCAGTAAACATACATAATACGAATGGTAAAACTAAAAATTTTGTGCAACCGGCTTCAATATAAATAAAACGAACATCGTCAAGGTATTGGTAGTCAATTAAATACGCATTGTTTAAGGATAACTCAAAAACTACTTATCAAATCTTGATCAAATTTATATGGGACTACAGGAGAAGCACCAGCTTTCAGATAAAAAAAGAATCATCCAAAGGAAAAGAATCGGTTCACCCAGGAAAACGTTCTGTGGTAACACTTAGAAGTAACATACAGTGGAATTTAATACAGGAGGTATTCAAGGTAGTAGAGGTATCCTTTTTGAAGTCGGTAGAAAAATATACGCGTCGATTATAAAACATTCTCGCTTTTTAAATTCAAAATAAATATTATATGTAAAATTAATATTGTTTAAACCTTTAGATTTGAAGTCTTTAGGTTTCCGTAACAAAATTTAAATTCCTATCGCTTAGAAGAAAATTTTGATTTTCTTTATTCGAATTATATTGCTTCCCTCTACGCTAGTAATATACTATAAGCCAATGCTTCCCTCCTATTACAAACGTAAATCAATCCTAAATCCATTGTTTTTTAAAAAAGATTTCCTCTTGAAAACTCATAAATAAATATTGTAATTAGATTTCTGATGTAAACCTTTTAGAGAACGGACGAGGACGCTGAAGGAAAAACTAATAATACGTTCGGAAATCAGAGCCGTCCAATTTGGAAGGAGTGCCTTTACCCATTAATCTTCATCCCTCAAACATCTGGAGTGATGTCGAGAAAAAATAAAATATAATTCTATTGAAGGATCAATGATAGAAGCAATGAAAAATAGGTCACATCTTTATACCAAACCAAAAGCAAACTTAATAAACGCAATGCCTTTGCTAAAGGACCTTAAGTATTTGCTTAACGCTACAATTATTTTTTATCTTCATTGATGAATTAAATTATTCGTCACTAATCTAATAAATTATAATAAAATCTTCAACTTAATCTCAATTGATTTAAATATATCTTTCTTAAAGTTAAAGTTACAGCCTATATACGTCCAATTGCTGGATTTCGTACTTACCTATCTTGTTATATTTGATATAATGAATACTATAACCGATTAACTCAGATTTTTTACACAAGTTATAGGATAGGAGTTTTCTAAGCTTCTCATATTAATAAACATAAATATACATTAAACAAATAACCAAACTTGATATTTCTATCACCGTTTGTCTGTATAATATGTTGTCAGTAGAAACCAATATACAAGGCAATTACGCCAGTGTCAAGCAAGTAAATAAATACCGACGACATTTCTGTATCGCTGCATGAAACTTCGTGATTATTTCCTCTCTAAATGATTGTGAGAGCGCCCAACTAATTAATAAATAGATTAAAAATCTTGCTATCTATCTATACATATAATGAAAATGTAAATTTTATGTGTCTGTACACCGTATTCTTTAAATGATTGAGAGGGACTAAAAAATTAGTAATTAAATGCATTTATATCCTTTTTAGATTTTTCTCTCTGTCTATTTTTCATGAAGGTATCACGTCTAAAGTGTTATTTTTTTGTCAAAAGAATCGCTAATAACATCATAAAGCGTATCGTCTCCTGGTTTATTTCCGTCGGTTGATTCTTACGACACCCATGGGACGATACAAGGTAGTGGATATTACACCGCCGCAACTGGGTATCAAACTGTAGTGGTGATTTGCTATAATTGTCACGGATGGCAGGCTATTGCAATACAAGACGTCTCGAACTTTTAACGTTGCTGCACGTTGTCAATCAGGGCATTTTATGTCTGTCTCTGACATAACCGTATATACCGTATAAACCGCCATTAAATATCGAAATCCATTAGATTTTTCTGAAGTATTTCATATCCATAGTTCCCTCTTCATAGATATATACATTTATTCCTAATTGAGAATCAGAATAGATACTTTGTCACCCCTGAGGATTAATAAGGAATGCCTCGTTTCTAGTAGAAAGGATCTCCGGCTCTCAATATTAACCACGAAACACGACAGCGTGAAGCTGTTATTTTACGCTGATATTCCGTGAGAGCGTCATCCTACTCCGGCCAAGTCGACCCATTCGTGCCACAACCATAATATAGCCTGAGCATGGCTCTACCAAGTACAATATTGATGAATTCATTTCTCTGCTTATCAGTTTGCTATGCAATGTTTGCATAACATCTTCTTAAGTTTCTTTTTAATATTTTCTTAGCGCATTCTACGTTAATGAATTTTATTTTAATAAAATACTGAACGTAACGGCACCCTTGGTTTTAAGTCATTAATGCACTTAAATAGGTTTTATTATGAAATTATTCATTATAAGTATAAAAATATCTATACTGTAACTGTTTTTGAGTTCCAACTGCAGAGTAGTTTATAAAATATAATCAATTGGGCTCAAAATAATAAAACTTCAAACAAACAAAGTTTCTCTATGCGAGCGAAGTCGCGCGCACATCCTGTGTAATCTAAAATTGAACTAGTGTATTATAATTTATAATCATAAATGAAAAGTGTGTAGATTCAATTGTAAAATATTTTCTGTTTATATTAATTATAGTAATAATGCTGCTATTTGAACCTTTTCGGCGCTAATTTTGTGCTTTTTTACCGAGGGTTGACTGGGAGTGTATGCCACAATAGCATTAAGTTTGCCCGTTGTACCATTTACAATAAATAAAAAATAAATAACTGGTATAATATCATAAACTTACCATCACCGACGTACTTGAGAACAAATTGCACTTCAGGCCCCAGTGTTGCGGCGACTTCTAAGGGTAACTCTGTATCCCGCAACACGTGTACTGCGGACAATAAACACAAATACTAAAGTTGTTCAGTTTATTTTAAAACAAAAGGTCACCGTATAAAATTTTCAATATGAACTACTTAACCCTATTAAAAATCAAACTGAAAGCCATACACATTATTGTGTAGCTGCCATTATTTATTTTAAAGCGTGTTTTTTGTTAAAACAAGTGGTAGAGCCACGCTGCAGCTATACGAGTATTATGGTTGTAGCACGAATGAGTGTAGAGTGTAGTGTAGAGAACTAGAGACCCTTTTTACTGGAAACGAAGCATTCCACCTCAGTCATCAGATGTAACAACGCGTTTGCATTTTCATTCTTAATTAAGAATTATTGAAGATGTCTATGGGCCACAGCATTCAATTACCATCACGTGGACTGTGTGCTCGTTTGTCACCCTCATACTATAAAAAATATTTATAATGCCGTAGTTCGAACCTATAGTAATAGATTAACTAGTTCACTGTTCGCGAAAAAAACACAATAGTTAAAGAATCGAAATTTTCATATATGACTCACGGGACAGTGAAATGGTTAAGTTACATACTAAACAGAAAATTTAAATGTATTACAGATGTCAAAAATTAATTCGCTAAGATCTACTGATGGCCTTACCTAGTTTGAAGAGCACCTCCCGCCCTCCTTTAATTGCTTGGACTATCGTCGTGACGAGGATCGCTAATCCTCAGCACCACTACTTCTAACACAACTACACTAGAAAAGAAACAACACTGGCAATAATACGACACGTGTTTCACCTCGAAACGGGGCATCCTCAGATGAAGTAGACTTTGCAGTGGCTGACCGCTAAGTGAGCAGCGAGCCAAAACGGTTGCTATTTATACAACTGACACTAATCTTAACACCACTATACTAGGAAAGAAACACCACGTTCGATAATACGACACGTATTTCGCCTCCAAACGAGGCATCCTCAGATGAAGTAGACTCTGCAGTGGCTGACCGCTAAGTGAGCGGCAAGCCAAAACAGTTGCTATTTAAACAACTGACAGTAATCCTAACACCACCACACTAGGAAAGAAATGCCACGGTCGATAATACCACAAGTGTTTTGCCTCTCAAGAAAGCATCCACAGGTGAAATAGACTCTGCTGTGTCTGACATATAAGTTTCAGATATTTCACGCAATTAAGGGGGGGGGGGCGGTAGGTGCTCTTCAAACTCGGTAAAATAATATGTCTTATATTATTTTATTTTATTACGCTGATCTTACCTAATTAAATTTTATCTAAATCTTGAAAATCAAAGAATAAGAAAAAAAAAGAATTACTGTTTAGAAAAGAGGTTCTTCTGGCTGGAGAAGAAACGGCGAAAGAAATTTCGCAGTCTTTTGTTCTATTTTTAAAGTTAGTTTTACAACAGTGTAGTAAAAACATAACGAAAAATTGGGGCATTTGCTTATAATTATTTTTATTTTAATATTTTTAATTTAAAAAAAAGAATATTAACAATGCTATAAACATTACTAATATTCCTTTTAACCACTCATGGTAAGCTTAAATTGCTTGTGTTACGAGTGGTTCACGCCAGTAGTCGAATGGCGGATTCGAACCCACGACCTTTTTGAGTTCGTAGTCCACGCCCTTCTATTAGACTACTGTCCACCCCAACCACCCCACTGTACAAGTCGTCACAAGTCCACTGCTGAACGTAGGCCTCCCCAAGTAATGCCATAAAGCACGGTCCTGAGCCACCTGCGTCAATCGACTTCCTGCATGTCTTACCAGGTCGTCACTCCATCTAATGAGGGGTCGCCCTACACTACGCCTACCGGTACGAGGCTGCCACTCGAGAACCTTTCTTCCCCATTGGTTATCGGTTCTTCGAGCTATATGGCCGGCCCATTGCTACTTCAGCTTACTAATCCGTTGGGCTATATCGGTCACACTGGTTTTACTGCGGATATCCTCATTTCTGAGTCTATTACGCAGAGAAACTCCGAACATAGCCCTCTCCATAGCTCGCTAAGCAACCTTGAGCGTCCTCATACGACCATCAGTGAAGGACCACGTCTCAGATCCGTAAGTCATCACTGGCAACACGCACTGGTTGTACACTTTAGTTTTCAGAGATTGAGGTATATCTGACGAGAAGATGTGTCATAATTTCCCGAACGCTGCCCAGCCGAGTTGAATCCGTCGATTGACCTCTCGGTCGAAGTTGGACTTACCTAGTCGGACTATTTGTCCCAGGTAAACGTACTCGTCAACAACTTCGAGCATAGTGCTCCCAAAAACTACCGGCATAGGTTAGTTCTTTGTTTTGTCCATGTTCATCTTAAGACCTATCCGTTGGGAGACACTATTGAGGTCATTGAGCATAGTGCTAGCGATTCTGCCATAAGGACTATATCGTCAGCAAATCGAAGGTGAGTGATGTACTCGCCATTGATGTTAATACCGTATCCTTTCCAGTCCAGTAGCTTGAAAACGTCTTCCAACGCAGCGGTGAAGAGTTTCGGGGATATAACGTCACCCTGTCTTACACCTCTCTGCAGTTGGATAGGTTTCGAACTCGGGTTCTGTACTCGGATAGCCATCGTAGCCCTACTGTATAAACACTTCAGCACTTCGATATACCGACAGTCAACTTGGCACCGCTGAAGGGACTGTAGCACTGCCCAAATTTCGACGGAATCAAAGGCTTTCTCATAGTCCACATACGCCAGGCAAAGTGACAGATTGTACTCTTCGGTCTTCTGTACAATCTGCCGCAGGGTATGTATGTGGTCTACGGTAATGAAGCCTTTTCGGAAACCGGCTTGTTCGACACGATTCGTAATGACTCTCGAAAACAGCACGTAGACGCGGCTCAGAAGGGAAATCGGTCTGTAGTTCTTCAAGAGAGCGTTGTCGCCTTTCTTAAAGAACAAGACCACCGCACTTCTGCTCCACGCCTCCGGAGCAGTGCCACCATGGAGGACAGAATTGAAGAGCTTCTGAAGGACTTCAAGTACCGTGTTCCACCCGCTTTCAAAAGCTCCGCTGAAATTCCATCCTCGCCTGGGGCCCTGCCGTTTTTAAGGTGCTGGAGAGCCATTCAGCCACTCTAATCTCGCTCAGACTGACGTCCGGTATATCATCGGAATAGTGTCGGGTAAGACTTGCTCTTCGATCGTTACACTTGCGTGTGGCTAAAACGATGATGTGTACAGCTGCCCATAGAACCTCTCAATCTCACTCAAAATCTCAGGTGTCCCGGAAACGATGCTGCCACACTCAGTCTTCAGCTTTGACAGTTGGCTCTTTCTGGCAGACAGATCTCTGGCAAAGACTTTGGAGCCCTGGTTACGCTCGATCGCTTCTTTAATACGAGCAGTATTAAAGTTGCGTAAGTCTCGCCGCATACATTTGGAGATCTGTCTGTTCAGTTGCCTGTATGCTGTCAAATCTTTTGACGATTACATCCTTAGCTCCCGTCTAACCGCCATGAGATTAAGAGTGTGATCGGAGAGCTTTTGTGTTCTTCTGCGGCGGGTCTTGCAGAACTTAGCTCCGACCGCATGGACAGTTTCCACGAGCTTGTCATTCATATCGTCCACTGCATTGCAATCTTCTAGGCACTGAAAGCGGTTACGTAACTCAAGCTGAAAGGTTTCGGGATTGTGGATTAGAGCACGAGGGGGACGGAGCGTTGACTTCATTAGACGAGACCTCTCCAACTTAACGTTTAGGTTCAGTGTGCCTCTAACCATTCGGAGATCGCTGCCGGTTTTCACCCTTGTGATCACTGAGACCTCACTGAACAGTTGGCGTCTGGTCGTCATAATGAAGTCAATCACATTTTTTGTCGAACCGTCGGGGCTCGACCAGGTCCACTTCCTGTGGGGCCGCTTCTGGAAGAAAGAGTTCATCATAAAGAGTCCCTTTTTCTCCATAAAGTCAGCCAGCTGCTGGCCCCTACGGTTCCGTTGCCCTACTAATTCCACCAACCCTTCTCTTGTGCCTAGTTTTGCGTTTAAGTCTCCCATCAACACCATGTAGTGGGTTTTGGAGGCTGAATGGCTCTAGAAATATCCTCATACATTTCCTCCACCTCCTCATAGGGATGTGCCGAGGTTGGTGCGTAGACCTGTATGACCTTCAGCGAATACCGTTTGGTGATTCTGAGTATCAGGTACGCGACCCTCGTCGACACACTCCCAATCTTTACAACGTTGTTGACGAGAGACTTGTGGACGATAAATCCGACACCTCCTTGGGACAGATGGTTGTCCTCCCGGTGATAGAACAAGTTGCCGGACTCGAGGATTACCGTGTCCTCCCAATCTCCTCTCTTCGGACCTCAGATAATCCAATAATATGCCAGCGAAACTTGTCTACCTCTTCTTCCAGCTCCAGTATCTTCTGGTCAGTCCTCAGGGTGCGTGCGATATACGTTACCAGGTCGAGTCGTCGTAGGTGGCAACCGAACCTCCACCGGAGATTCTTAGCACCCCCCTGCCCCGCCGTTACCATGGTCGCCACCGTAGCCAGGAATAGCGGGGCCGCCGGGGACTGGGGGCCGTTTGTTTGCGTCATTGCTCATGGGGGGATATTTGCCATAGTTGCCTAGCTTGGCGAGCGGGTTGGCAACCGCAGTTTTTTATTATGTTATTGTTGTTATTAGGAAGATGCTGCTGCCCATCTCCTTTCTGTGTCCCTCTGTCGCCTCTTACGACACCCACGGGAAGATATGGGGTAGTGGATATTCTCAACCGCCACTACACGGCAGTAGTGTGTACCCAAAATAAACGATTAAAAATTTGACAGTTATTAGTGCGGAGCGAACACGAGCTGACCAGTGACCACAAGCAGCACTTGCTCACAAGTATGATGCATGTGGGATATTAAATTGAAGAGGAAGAAACGACAGACTTCGTGTATATGATATTTAATATTGTACATATCAAAATGGTAATGAGACAAAAATATTAAATTTTAACAAAAACCCAATTTACTATTGATATAAATATCATTTCACCTAGATCAATAT